TTTGAAATGCTGTGTGCAGCCAGGAGGCAGCTAGGATGTCCCCAGGCTGTTTGCATGCAGTGTTTCAAAGTGGCAGCCCCATGTGGAACCCAGGATCGGCTGGGGACTCCCTTGCCGACCCCGAGCTCCATGTGGCACTGCTGCTTTGAAATGCCGTGGAGAGCCCAGCATTGGACAGAGGAGTCCCCAGCTGATCCCAGGCTCCATGCGGCGCTTTTGCCTTTGAAGTGCAGCAACAGCGCTGTGGTTGTTGCTACACTTCAAAGGCAGAGGTACCCTATCGGCTAATCAAATAGTCAATGCAAAATGCATCGACTATTCGATTAATCAGTTAGTCAATGTTTAATATCCCTATTGGCTATACATTTTCTCAGCTATATGAGGAATGAGGTTTTGCCGTGAGGTGCTCTGCGAGACTCGGCTTATAGCAAGAGGATTTCTTTCCCGGGTCTATGTCTTTTGTAAAACTGATTTCAAATAAGCATTTGTTTCTTTTTTAGGAAGTGCCTAATCGTCGTCTTCTTTTGTTTGGCACACTAATAATGAAAGGAATGAAGAATGTGTGTCAACAGCCCCATTGAGCTGTGTTAGTCATTAGAGCAGCAGGTTGTATGGTAAGCACCAATGTGGATGAACTTCTAGAATTGGAAGGGCTGCCTGCTGATAGGGATCACTTGGGAAAGCTCAGCAAGCTTTCAGGGGTACACTCTATTACTAATTTCTGGGCCAGACTCTTAGCTGGGGTAAATTGTCCATTACCTTGAATGGAGTGCTGCTGCTTTACCCCAGCTGCGAATTTGGCCCTCTGAGTGTAAGTCCCATTAAAGCGAATGGCCAAAATTCATTGGTGCTTGGAAATTAGATACAACTCTAAGGGGCCCACCTGGCTACTCCAGACTCAAGCAGAACTCAGGGAAAGTTTCCATCATGATTTTGATGAGATTTCTGCCTGCACAGAGAGCACAGGATTGGGCCTATGGTACAAGAAAGACGAGGTTGAGTCTGTTGAAATGATGCCAGACATCTGGCATATGCAAGCAGAGAGGGATATTACAATGAGGCCAGTTTATCGCTGCACTTTCAATTTGTGGCTGGATGTCTACACTCCCTCCTGGACTATATCGGACATCTACTGGCGTGGGAGTTTTCAGCCTGGTGCAATGTGAAGGCTTTGGTGGCCTTGCAAAAGTCTACGAGGTTGGTAGCAAATGCTCTGCGGAGGCTCAGAGAGGACACAGCTGGGGTGATCCAGACTGGGTTGGTGGTGCACTGACAAAGCTGGGGAGAGGGAGGGTGCCCATTACTGGACTCCAGCTAATGGCCGTACTCCTCCCCCCAAGGTGAGTCAGACTGTTCTATCCTGATATTAAACCCCAACAATGCCAGGATTGTGGCACCATCCAGGTTACAGGCTGGGATTAAAAAACAGAAATGAGTAAAGGTCTAGAGAACATGAGCTATGAAGTAAGGCTGAAGGAACTGGGCTTGTTTAGTTTGAAAAGAGCAGACTGAGAAGGGACATGAGAGCAGTTTTCAGGCATCAAAAAGGGTGTCACTTAGAAGGGGTGTGTCTGTGGAAATTGTTCTCCTTGGCCTCTAAGGATAGGACAAGAAGTAATGGGTTTAAAACTGCAGCAAAGGAGGTTTTGGTGGGACATTAGGAAAAAGTTCCTAACTGTCAGGGTGATGAAACGCCGGAATAAATTGCCTAGGGAGGTTGTGGAATCCCCATCACTGGAGATATTTAAGAGCAGGTTAGACAGACATCTATCAGGGATGATCTAGATGGTACTGGGTCCTGCTGTGAGGGCAGGGGACTGGACTTGATGACCTCTCAAGGTCCCTTCAAGTTCTAGTGTTCTATGAGTCTATGAAATTGGAATTTGCATATTTAAGTATGTAAATGACCTAATATTCTTTTTAACTTCTTTTACCCTTGAATCTGAAGGAGGGTGCAGCTGGGTGTTAAAAGAAGCCCCACCCATATTCAAATCCAAAACAAGAGCTGGAATGACATATGGTCAAACCCAGCCTCTTCTGCAAAGCTTCTGAAACTTCCCAGCATGTACATGCCATTTCCCCTCCTCCGTCTTTTTTCAGGCATGTTAGCACAGAAATAATTAGCGTCACTTGGAAACCTCTTGGTGGGTTTGTGAAAACTTTGACTCAAGACTAGATCTGTTCTAGCTGCTGATAAAAGGAATGTCTGCAGAAGTTAGGGTGCTGGAGAGCAGTATCTGTATATAGTCTGCAGTCATCTTCATCAGAGACAACAAAAGCAATTAGATTCATACCCTACAGGTATTTATATTGTTCAGTTCTGCTAAGACTTCCAAAAAGCACAGCAGCATGGAATGTATCTATATCAGTGTGGAGTAAAGCAACTCCAGCAGGTTAGGGGGTTGTTATTCATATGTTTAAAAATAGATACAGCATATTACCCTCAGTTTCTCAGTGCACTGAGGGATAGCTGTGTAATCCTGTTCTGAGCAGGGTTCCATTGTGGCTGCTTGTTATTAATTGCTCAGCAGAGAGAAAACAGAGGAAGTGGCTAGAAAATGTATTACAGAAAAGCGAAGAAGCATGAAATTATTGGTTGTCTTACTCTGCCGTGTGTGTGCATTCCCATGTATATAAGTAAAAAAGAAAGAGAGAGAAGCACAATATGTTTTTTCTCGTGATTTACAGATGTAGCTGGTAAGTAAATTCTTTGTGGAAAATATCAGTGAAAATGAAAAACATTTTTTTCCTCCTCACAAAAATAGTTAGCTTTTTTTTTTATTAATTTTGTGAAGGGTGGGGGAGAAAGAGGGAAAGATGAGGGCAGGAGAGAGAGGGAGAAACCTCAGAAAAAAATTGGCCAAAACCAGAATACTTAGATTCAAGAATGCTCCTGCAGTGAACTGAACTCATGCTTGCATTCTCAACTAAAGACCCAGTTTCCTGTTCTGATTACAGCTCCTATGATGCACCACAATCTCTCCTCTTGCTGAGCTGCCATGGTGTATCCTGGGAGATATAGTCTAGCTAGGGAATCCAGCCCGCAGAGTACAATGGAACTACAACTCCCATGAGGCATCCTGGTAGCATTCCTGTATCAACATTTCTCAGTTTTCAGCTTAGGTTTTCAAATGTCCAGTTTTTCAACAAACAGTCCACATTTTCTGCAGAAATCAGGTATATTTTTATGCAAAATTTAATTTGATGGAAGAAAATATTCCACCACCCCTTGCTATAGACTTGACTGCTTGCTCCACATCTGAGTGAAACCATAAATTAGATGTGTCCAGTCATTCCTAGTGCATGGAGTTAATATTTTTTATTTTTCCATTGTCAGTTATTCTTTACATGGTATTTCAGGTCCTTATTCATGTTCAGGACAGTACTTAAGCAGGTGCTTACGTGCTTTCCTAAATAATGGCCCACGATTGTGCATTTTTCTTTGGGACAAATGAGAACATTGACAAATTGTATATTAAATATACGGATACATTTTTGTTATAAGAATATTTGCTCATGTTAGTAGGCTAAAGTATAAAGACTATAAAGAGTAAGTCCCTATGACTTATATTTCTTACCCATAGCCTGCAGCTATCTCTATAAACACTGCTTTTTATCTGGCTTGTGTGGTCATTGATGCCTATGCAAATAGAGGGCAGAATGCCTGAACTATGCTCAATATTAGATTGTCTTTAGAGGTTTCTAAAATGTTTTAGTTATTATCTTTATTGGCAGTTGGTCTCATGAGAGAGCTTGGCGTTTTTAAATTCTAAATGATTTTTTAAAGAATTTGTCTGTAAAGTAAGTGGTTTATATAGAAAACAGGATCCTTTGATGCAATGTAACTATTTGACCAGTCATCTTTTGATATGAGTTATTAACTTATTCATGGTTTCACCACTCTCCAGTAATGCAGCCATCTCAAATTTCATGCCTATAAAAGCTTCATAGCTAATCATTCCATGGCATCAAGTATCAGAGGGGTAGCCGTGTTAGTCTGGATCTGCAAAAGCGACAAGGAGTCCTGTGGCACCTTATAGACTAACAGATGTATTGAAAGCATAAGCTTCCATGGGCAAAGACCCATTTCATCAGATGAATGACACCATGCAAGGCACTGCATTTAGCCATATGGAGTAGAAATCCATTCCATGGCGTATTTCTCTCTCCGTGGGAGTATGTGTCTATTGAGTCCAGTCATGTTATTCCAATTGTTGTAGTAGTGAGAGACTCAGGCCTACAACCTTTACATCTGTTTTGCACAATGTGGACTGCTGCACGGTGCAAAATCAGATCCTCATATATTCCCTCCTGCCCCACCATGAAGACATGTTCTAGGATGCAGATTATATTATTCCACTCTATGGATATGAAAAGATACCCTAAGTATGAAAAGATACTCCAAGACATCTGGCCTGATTCTACCTTTTGTTGCCCTCCCCGCACCCCAATGCCTCTCAAGAGGAGCTACCTACGAGCTCAGAATTTGGCCCTTTGGTTGGTCAGCAAATAAGAGTGATGCTCTTACAAGACACTGAGAGTCAACAAACATCCCCTGCCAAAAATCCCCAACTCATTAAAGGTAAACGTTTCTTTCATATACGTTTGATTCTCTTGCTGCCCCAAAGGACTAGAAACACATTGGATACAATGACCAGCAAATACAAGTTCACATCCAGCTGAACATGCCTGCATAACAAACACTTTCTTGTAAAATACCGTTGCTGAAGGCTGCGTTTTTGTTAAATGTCCCCTATTCATTATTCATAGGCTAAAGGCATAGGAAATGTCCTCCCATCCTACCCCACCCCCTCCCCATGTGTAAGCACTGAGGGAAAGGAATGACTTTTAATACATTGGAGAACAGCATCATCAATAAATAATATAGGTTTAAACCAACTTTGTCTAACGTAACTGTAATTGAGTTATAAAAATTTCATACTGGATTTTTCCCCCCCGAGTTTCTCTGGCTAGTCTGTGCAAGGAAGCAGAATACTTACAACTTCCTTAGCCGAGAGAAAGCTGTAGATTGGAAGGGTTTGGCTTGGAGCATGGCTGGCCTGGCCCCCCGCAGAAATGTTTCTCTTTTCTATGCTCTTTGAACCATGCTGGGAGCGTTTACGTCTTGCTTTATGGCCTTCCTCCCGAGACCTGGCTCTACGCCTAAAGAAAGAGAAACATAAAATCAAACCATGATGAATGAGTAATATTATTGATTTGTCCCCAATGTCCCGTCTTCTGCCTAAGGAAGGCTTTCACCTGGCTATAAACTGGACAGTCTTCTTTCTATGTTCTCTGCCCTTGCCCGGGTCTGGGACAAAACTGGATATGGATTTGTCCGGTATTGGTCAAGAGACATCTTTTAAAGAGTGCGCCACTCTGCACCTGCCGATGTGACCTTAAGCACATGGTGCATGCAAAGTCCTAGCAGGAGGGAAGAGGGATGTGCGCACTGCGTGCTCCCTGGGTTGTGCATAGGTCTTGGATATGTGCCAACAGGACATTGCCACCTTGGGAAATGAGGAAGATGTTAAGATGATTCCATAGGAGGGGGCCACCAGCAGCAGCACCCTAGATTTAAAAGCATGAGCCTCAACGGCTTGAGACCTCCACTACAATCCAAGCTGGTAACAGGCTCATCCACTCTCTGTGGGTATGTCTACACTTGCAGCCTATTTTGGAATAGGGCTGCAAATATAGGCATTCGGAATTGCAAATCAAGCCTGGGATTTAAATATCCCGTGCTTGATGTGCATCTTCCCGTCCGGGTGCCATTATTTGAAATTTACAAGCCCGGAATAACTGCCCGCGTCTACATGCGTTAGTAAAACGGGCGTTCAAAATAAATCCCTATTTCAAACTACCTATTATTCCTCCGTGCATCTTCCCGTCCGGGTGCCATTATTTGAAATTTACAAGCCCGGAATAACTGCCCGCGTCTACATGCGTTAGTAAAACGGGCGTTCAAAATAAATCCCTATTTCAAACTACCTATTATTCCTCCTGCAATGAGGTTTAACAGGTAGTTCGAAATAGGGCTTTATTTCGAATGCCCGTTTCACTGCTGCATGTAGACGCGGGCAGTTATTCCGGGCTTGTAAATTTCAAAAAATGGCGATGCAAATCAAGCACGGGATATTTAAATCCCGGGCTTGATTTGCAATTCCGAATGCCTACATTTGCAGCCCTATTCCGAAATAGTCTGCGAGTGTAGATATACCCTATGTCAGAGGTTTTCAAACTCCGGGTCACAGCTTGTTAAGGGCAAGCTGATAAATAGCCACGACATGCGTTGTTTAATGACGCCTCTGCCAGTCTGGGTGCTCACAGCTCCCATTGGCCACAGATCGCCGTTACTGGCCAATGGGAGCTGCAGGAAGTAGTATGGACCAGGACACTGCTTCCTGCAGCTCCCATTGGCCAGTAATGGTCACAGTGGGTGCCTTTGGAGGTGCAGGGAAACAAAGTATCTCATGGCCAGCTAACAGCTTGCCTTTACAAGCCATGCCCTAGAGTTGGAAAATCCCTGCTCTGTGTGACCCAGCTACCACTAGAGGGAAAAGGAGCATCTTGGTGTGTAATGGTGGTTTACACTGAGCCCGCTAAGCTCATTTCAACTGTGTCTCTGACAGAGCTCTGAAGCGAGGCAAAAGGAAGACCAGCTCAGCAAACGGCAACATTACCTGCTTTGGCAGCTAGAGGAGAGGGAATCGGAGCTCTCCGAGCGGGAATGGTGGGGGCGGGGGCGATGCGAGAGCTTTTGAGAGTGGAAAGAAAACTGTTCATTAATCTAGTAGACAAAGGCGTCCCAAGATCCAGTGGATGGAAGCTGAAGTCGGCAAGAGACAAAATGGAAATAAGGTGTAAATATTTCTAAGAAGTGAGGGCAATCGTCCATAGTGTGGAGTGTACAGACCGATGTCTTTCCATCAGCTAGGCTGTAGCTTAGCGCCAGCGCTGGGTGCAGGAATCACTGGGTGAAGTTCTACAGCTTGGGCCATGCAGGTTGGACAAGAACGAGGTCATGGTCCCTTCTTGCCTTAAGGTCTATGATTTCATGCATCTGTCAGACTGGATGAGCACATCTGACCCGCCAACATCCTTCAGGCAACTGTAACAAACCATTCTGGAATCATCTTATTTTGGGGCCTCTTGGGGTGTGTCTACACAGCAGCGTTATTTCAGAATGACAGCCATTATTCCGAAATAACAATGCGAGTGTCTACACAGCAATTCTGTTATTTTGAAATAAATTTGAAATAAAGGACGGCTTATTCCGACTTCTGTAAACCTCATTCCACAAGGAATAACGCCTCGTCCGAAATAGCTATTTTGAAATAGCTGTAGTGTGGACACTCCACTGCTGCTATTTTGAAATAGCTCCTCCCACAGGGCACTCCCCAGTGCCTCCTGGGACTCTAAATCAAAGTAATGCATCAACATTAGGGAAGCCTGCCTTGGACTAATGTTGAGGCTTCCCTGTAGTGTAGACATGCTATTTTGAAATAAGCTATTTCAGCGTATTTCTCTTAGAATAGCTTATTTTGAAATAAGCGTGCAGTGTAGATGTACCCTTGGTCCGCTCGTAGGAAGTCCTCTCAGCCAGGTCTCTCTAAATGAAACTCTCAAGGTTAGTCCCACAGTCCTTTCAATGCGGGGGGAGGGTTATTAATAAACAGAAGATGGAAGAGAGGCTCAAAATAACACAAAATACAGGGTAACAGACACCTTCCCTACTTCCTCCAGCTGGAAAGAGAAGGCTCATCTTTGCCCTTTCTTGGCTACTACAAAGACTCCTCACAGTGGATTTTCCCTGAGTGTAGGTGACAGGCAGGAAGCCTTAGCTCATATACTAGCTCCTACTCATGTGCCTGGTGACCCCGCAGTTTTAAAGGGACAGGTGCACAGGGATGCATGATTCCTTAGCATCCAGAGACCTGTTCCACTCCCCATTCACTCCATTATAGCAGGTACAATTGATTGTAAGACTCTTGTTGTCGGTCTAACACTGCACTCTGATGCAAGCATTGCTGGGGACTTTTGGTGGCTAGCTATCAGCATCAGCACTTGCTGCTTTCAGTGGCTGGTCAGTGGTGACATTTTAGCTCCCTGTACTGTCTGGATTCTTAGCCAGGAAGGGGCAGGTGCCAGATAATGGAAGAGTCATTTGTTGGAGGGGATTGTTGGTAAGAGGGTTGTGCCTTTGTTACTGGGTCACAGGCTTTGCTTTATTTAGAAGTTCTGGATTGCTGCCACATGTCACACGATTACGGTGAAATAAATCAACATAGAATAAAATCAACAGGCCATGTTGCTTCAGATCTGCATCTTCACTGATACAAAAGAATATTCCGCCCAGAGCAGATTAAACATTTTAAAAACTGGTTCATTTACTTGAAACTCCCATTCGCTGCTTAGGTCAGCCGTTTTTATAGCTTCTTATTTGCTCTGTGCTGGTCGTGGCCAATGAGACAGCATTGGTTTTTTGCTCACAGGAATGTTTGGAGAGTGTTGCCAATTCATGTGATTTTATCACAACTCTCACAAAATTTGGTGTTTTTCTTAGCGCTTCAGCTCCTGGAAGCATGAAATTTGGTGAGAAACTGTCCTTTAGAAATCTTTCTAGCCTCCATAATGGCAGAGCAAAGCTTTGAAATGTAGACCCATTGCAACCTAAAAAACATCAAAAGGCAAATAGGAAGAACCCCACATTTATTATTATCTTTAAAACAAATTTTCACCATTTTAACCCTCTCATGATTTGGGAGGTCTTGGTTCTTGACTTTTGAATACTTAGAGTTGGCAGTAGGGAATATCTACCCCTTGTACAAAGATCTGTGTTGAAGGCTTCATATGAAAACAAAAATACTAGTTCTTTACTATTTACTATTAGAGATGTTACATTTAGATTAATCGGCTAATCGAATAGTTGATGCAATTTGCATCGACTATTTGATTAGTCAATAAGGGCACCTCTGCCTTTGAAGTGTAGCAACAGCCCCAGGGCTGTTGCTACACTTCAAAAGTGAAAGTGCTGAGGGGAGCACGAGGCCAGCGGGGGACTCAAGCTGTCCCCCACTGGCACCGTGTTCCGTGTGGCATTTCAAAGTGACAGCACCACATGGAGCCCGGTGTCAGCTGAGGAGTCCTGCACGTGGCATTTCAAAGCAGCAGTGCCAGGTGGAGCCTGGGGTCTGGCGGGGGGCCCGGTGCCCCCTGCCACTTTGAAGCACCCCTTCCTCCCTCCCCTCTTGCTGCCTCTTCCTGATAGAGGCAGCAAGGGGGGAGAAGCGACTAGTTGACTAGTGTGTCGACTCTCTGATAAGCTTTTGTTTATTAGATAGCTGACCAGTTGTTCACATTCCTAATTACTATCCTCATTAATCTTGCATTTAAAACTTTTGACATCCCATCATGGTGCAGAAATGGTACCATTTACTGTAGGTGACCAGTCACACACCACAAATAATGAAGCTCTGAAGTGTCCCAAAGAGAGAACAACCAACTGTGCTCTTGCAAGACTCTAAACGTCTAGTTCAAAACCTAGTACAAGAGATCAGCATCTGCCATGGGGACTGCTGCTGTCTTGAAACCACACAGAGAGAGAAAGAAAAGGGGACCAGCATCCTGACTGCGACCCAGATTAAATATCATGGATCATTCTCCTCACCCTCAGCGATCCTAATATGTCTCAAGGTCAGGGGTCATTTTTGGTCTGTGTTCTGCAGTGCTGGTCACATTTCATTTCAGCCTCCCTTCCTGACTCTGTCCCTTATTGCAAGACTACACAAAACCCTTATCAGGAGTTACGATGTCCTTATAGATCCAGGCAGTATTCCAGGTGCATTAACAAATTGTCTCTTTGCTCCCTTGCTTTTCACCACATCTGGGGCCACAGGTTCAATGAAGGGTCCCAAGCTGGGGGTGCATATTGTACAAGTACATTTTACACAGGAAACTGTGCCTGCTGAATGTGGATACTCTGTGTACAAATGGACACTTGTTCGCCCATGCCACCCTTTACATGTGGTCCTTGTGTCCATAATTACCCCACAAACATGTGAATGCATATATTTTGCCAGGGCTGGACTCAGAGCACCCTGCTCCAGCATGGAGCAGATTTGGTCATTGGGCTTTCCATGTGCCAAGTCTCTTGGCACTAGTGGCCATCTCTCAGAGATGCTGTATCTTCCATTTTCCATGAGCACCTAGCAAGACCGAATATGCACTATGTATAATGATTCTGGGCTGCATTAACAGGAGTGTTGTGAGCAAGACGCAAGAAGTCATTCTTCCGCTCTACCCTGCGCTGGTTAGGCCTCAGTTGGAGTATTGTGTCCAGTTCTGAGCACCACATTTCAAGAAAGATGTGGAGAAATTGGAGAAGGTCCAGAGAAGAGCAACACAAATGATGAAAGGTCTAGAGAACATGACCTGTGAGGGAAGGGTGAAAGAATTGAGCTTGTTTAGTTTAGAAAAGAGAAGACTGAGAGGGGACACGATAGCAGTTTTCAGGTATCTCTTTTTCTCCCCAATACTTCAAGTTTTTTTAGTTTCAAAATTTGGAATGTCCAAATTTGGAAAGCACTAACCAGCTCAAATCAAATCCTGTGGGGGCAGGATAAAAGTATCCCTTGTTTTAGCTGAAAAATAAGCGTGTCATTTTAAAATGTAACAGGAGGATTTGAGTGGTGAATAGCCCTTGGCTGCTAATTCCATACAATGCCAAAGAAAAGTGTTCTAGTACCAAAACCTTCCTCACATTGTGACTCTTAAAGGGACAGTTCAGCAAAGACAGTTCATTACATCTCTACTTACTGTTTTTTGTGTTTTCTTTCTTCCTTTCTTTTACTTTTTGGGCTTGAGGAACTAAATAAGAAATAGCTAATTAATTGGAAGATTTCAGTTCTAATCAGCCAAAGCAATCAAACTAAATCTGTTAATCTCTAAGGTGCCACAGGATTCCTTGTTGTAGATACAGGCTAACACAGCTGCTTTTCTGAGACATTTTAACAGGACACAGAATCTCAGAAATCACCAGAATGCTTTGTTTACCCCTGACACAAATGGACACAACTCCATTCCCATCAATGATCTTGGGCTTACTTATCGCACTAGAGTGATCTGCACCATTGTATTTCAGGGAAAACACATATTGTATTATGAACTCCAAACAAAGGGATCGGCCATCCTACCAGCCTTATAAGGGGCCAGAAATATATATTTAATATACATGTACAGGGAATGGCAAAGTTACACCAGTGTAAATCTGACATAAAGCAGTGGAGACTCAGGTACATGGAGCCAAACGCTTCAATGAGGAAGAGCACAATAAGCTTCCTGCACAAGCTATCCAGAAGATGGGTTCTGGTGACAGTCTAGATTTGCTAGTACATTACTCCAGAAGAGAAATGCAGTGTCAGAATTCAGGTCAAGCCACTATAGATCTGCCTCTAGAACAGGAGTGGGCAATAATTTTTGATGGGGGGGACACTCCAAGATTTTGGAAAGTGGCCGAGGGCCGCACTCTTCCATGGAGGATTTGCAGGGTCTGGGATGGAGGTTGGTTGCAGAAGGGAACTCAGGGTAAGGGATTGGGCTGCAGGAGGTAGTGTGGGGTTTGGGTGAAGGAGACAGTTGTAACCTCCGGCACTGGACTGGTTGCATGGGTTTGGAATGTGACCTAGGACAGGAAAGGGTTGTGAGCTACGGTACAGGGGCTGGGGATGTGACCTAGGGCAAGGGACTGGGGTGCAGGGGTTTGGGATGTGACCTAGGGCAGGAGACTGGGGTGCAGGGGTTTGGGTTGTGACCTAGGGCAAAGGACTGGGGTGCAGGGGTTTGGGATGTGACCTAGGGCAGGAGACTGGGGTGCAGGGGTTTGGGTTGTGACCTAGGGCAAAGGACTGGGGTGCAGGGGTTTGGGATGTGACCTAGGGCAGGAGACTGGGGTGCAGGGGTTTGGGTTGTGACCTAGGGCAAAGGACTGGGGTGCAGGGGTTTGGGATGTGATCTGGGGCAAGAAGGGGTTGTGATGTAGGGCTGGGGATTGGAGTAGAGAAGGGGGTGCAAAGGTTTGGGTTCTGACCTGGGGCAGAAGGGGGTTGGGACCTAGGGCAGGGGATTGGGGTGCAGATTCTGGGGGGGGAAATGGGTGGAGGAGGGGGAA